GCGTATGCAGAGATGCCGGCGGCCAATTTGCTGTTTGACGGGACGAACGTGACCCCGCTGGACCTGTCTGAAGTGCAGCAAGCCACCGCCTGCTTTGCTGGTTGATGTTGCTCGCCATTGAGCGCTCCAGGCTGGCCGGCACTCCAGTCGGTAGCAGTGCTGCCGCTGGCGCAGAAGAGTATGTAAGCCTACGGAGTGCATGACACAAGCTTGGATACACAACCTCTCAGCACAAGGCGCTGCCCTGCTGGGGACCTGACTAGTTTGCAGGAAAGCAACAGCGTCGGGGCTGCGTCACCCAAGTGCACAGCCCGTTTGACCTGAAGTCAGCAGGGTGTGCTTTGTGTGCAGCGTCAGGTGGATGGCATTAGCGCTGCGAGATATTCTACTCACGGTGCTCACATCTCGAGTTTTAGAGGTTTCGTCGTTGGGGGATCTCGTCGTTCACGCCAAGCTCATTCGCCCGGAAGAAGTGCAGCTGCGACCAGTATCGTCATAATGAACGTGAAAGTCGGCCAGCAGCCCGCGTCCATGCGCAGCAGGCGCTCTGGCCTCGCCGCCCCTGCCGCGCGCCGTGCAGCAGCCCAGCGAGCATGTGCCCGGGCCCGCGCGACGGCGACGGCAGCCGTCGCGCCCCTGCCAACTGAGGTTTGGGAGATGACAGCTCAGGCAGCAGAGGCGGTCAAGGCCTCCGCGGCTGACGTGAGCGCCTGAGACACTCCAACGGCACTGCACCCACCGTACTCCGGCCAACCCCCTCGCCAGCGCTCTGAGCAGACCCCTGGACCATAAACTGGTGGTCGTTCACCTGTGTGCAGGGAAATCGCCTGCACAGTGTGGTGGTGATCAACCCTGTGAACGAGAAAGAGAACCGATTCACGTCCACCGAGGGCATGGACTATCCCTGCAGGTGAGGGACGGGTATGCGTGGCTGCCGCCGACCAGAACTTTTCAAACCACGCAGGAACCTGCCGCATGCCTCTCATGAAAGACATGGACATGTTCAAATGTTTTCAGATGTACTCGCATGACCGCACACGGTCCATGCATGATGTGCTGCTGTGCCCGTTGCCTCATGCGCCTTGCATGGGCACCCGCACGACGCGCGAGCGCATTTTTGCGTCGACGCCCAACGCTCGGCAGCAATATGAAAGAGTTTGAGACGATAGTGGGGGTCTCAAGGGAGGTGATCCGCGGCATCATCGGAGACGCCAGTGCGGCGCTCACGGTGGGTGGGTTCACCAGGTTTTCAAATCCTGCGGGGGTGGGGGTTGGGCGCGGCGGTTGGCCGTGGTGTCGCCTCGCTCAGCTGTGCATGTGGTGAATTGCGGCAAGATCAAGCAGCTGCATCTGGAGACTACCTCTGCGCTTGAGAGACAAACACCACCACACACATTACAAGCACATGCATGTACGCTCACCGCATACGAACAAATGCAGGCGCATGCGCACACTCGCTCGAGCGCACGCGCGCACACACACACACACACACACACACACCATGCACCACCGTCGCACGCCCAGATCAAGCGCATCGACGAGGGCGGATTGGACGGCGACCTCTGCGCCATCATCAGCTCAGTAGACAAGTCTGTTGTAGCAGTGGTGTGGCCCACCGCCGAGAAGCTGCCCATCCTGAAGAACCTGGCGAAGGTGGGTGACCCGGGCATGCCCCCTGGGGCGGCGGGATCACTCTGGCGATGTCTCCGAGGTTCGGTATGCAAACCGCCTGGCAGGCCGGTCACGTTTCAGTGAATCATCTTGCCCTGCTCAGGACACGGCGATCAAGACCCTGCTCATCATCAACCCGCTGTGGAAGACCGAGGGTGCGAGCCGCCGCCCTCCACCAAACAGCACTAGAGTGAAGGCTCTCTTGATTGCTATGGTGTCGCCTGCATGGACCTGCACCCTCTGCTCCAATGCGTGCACCCACCCCACCCCACCCCGCCCCACCCTCCACAGACACACACATCGCCACCACCACCAAAATGTCGCACCTTCTGCGCCTCACAATAACTACCCCTTGATCCCTGCGCATCGCCTACACTCCACACCTCCTAGTGCCAACGCACAACCACACGCAATCACACACACACGCGCGCGCGCGTTTGCACAGGCACTCACTTATTTACACACACACGGCCGCAGGCAACCTTGTTAGTGAGTTTGGTATCCTGCCCTGGGACCGCAAAGCCAATGCGGAGTTCGTGGCCGGCTTTGCTCTGTCCTATTCCCTGTATGAGCAGCGCATCGGCGCGCCCTCGTCGGTCAACCTGGCGCGCGGCACGCGCTACGAGAGCGGCGCGGTGGTGCGCGTGCTCAAGGTGTGGCCGCAGCAGTACCAGGTGCACGTGATGGCGGCAGACGGGACAAGCCAGGTGCGCGTTGGGGTGCGCTGGCGGCGGCTGGGGGGCACTCATGGGGGCTGGGGTTGCGTGACGGGAGTCCTATCAGATTGGCATCCCCATGGAGGGGAGCCAAATCGTCGAATTGTTTCGAGGAGAGGAGGGAGCAACCACAATGCATGAGCTTGCGGCTTGACCATGGGGTGGAGGGCAAGCCCCGCGTGCGTGGCCCGCTGCAAGGGGGACGCCTTGCTGCGCGCCCTGGGCTCTCAAAAACCGCCTGCCCTCGGCCCCATCCGGCGGCCCTGCCATCAAGGGTTTGCGATCGGCGGCCGCTTTCAGCTGTTTGACCAAACCCGTACCCAGGCCATCGGCGGCTTCGACGCCAAGCCCTCCTACCGGGAGCTTGAGGGCCTGATCGACAAGGCGCGGCTGGCCAAGCTTGAGGTGGGGTCCCATGCCCCCCCCCCTCCCGGCCGAGGCTCCCGCCCGCCTGACGCGCGCGGGGCGAGGGCCATATCGCGGTCTGCACCCGCCCGAGCCCCTCAGCACACCGGGCCGACCCGTCAGCGGGCGCCGTCGCAGCGCAGCTGGGTGCCGCCCCGCCCCAAGGC